AGCTTTGGGTCGGAGTTGGCACTGTCCCTCCGATTCATTGGGGTATCGATCTCGAACTGTGGAGTATAACGCCACAACTATGCACAATATCTATAAAGTTCTCGCTAGTCAATATGACCTGTTGGGTTATATTACTCCCTTTACAATGCGAGCTAAGGTCATTGTACAGCAATGCTAGATGGAGTCTCGGGGTTGGGATGATCCCCTTATGCCAAGTCCCTATCCAACAGGCCTGGAAGGCTTGGGAAACTGAGCTACCTGATCTGTCATGGATACAGATTCCCCGCTGTTTCCTTCCGAGCAAATTGTATACAGTGAGCTGCATATTTTTTGCGATGTTTCAGAGAGCGCATATGGGTCAGTAGCCTATTTGCGAATGGAAATGGACAAGAGCGTGGTACATACTTCCTTTATCATGGCAAGATCTCGAGTTGCCCCAAAAAGGCAAATTTCCATCCCTCGCCTTGAACTTTGCGCTGCTCTAACAGGTGCACAGCTCTCCAAACTCTTGCAAAAGGAATTTACTTTTCCCTTGACCGATATTTTCTTATGGTCTGACTTAACTGTTTTGTCTTGGCTGCATTCTCTCTCCTGCCGTTATAAAGTTTTCGTAGCCAATCGAGTCACTGAAATCTTGGAACTCACTGATCTCTCTTCTTGGAGATATATTCCTTCTGCACAGAATCCAGCAGATGACATTACTACAGGCAGAACGCTTGTTGAGCTGGCCAAACCTGATCATATATGGAGACAAGGTCCATCATTTTTCAAATTTCCTCCACATCAGTGGACTGTGTCCAGTGTCCAGATCTGCTAGTCCTGATCCTGAGCTCTGAAAACCTTTCTCCGAAATGTACCTTTTCTTGTGGGTTAACACAACTGGACGATCTTGTACTCCCAGACCCTTCCTGTTTCCAGTCATGGCCAGAGTTAAAGTCTGCCACAACTGAGTTATTGCGACAACATAGTCCAGACTCTTGTGACCCCTCAGTCATTCAAACCCTTCTTTTAAAACAAGCCCAGCAACAAAGTTTCCCCTCCAGTACCAGTGTTTAAAGGAAGGAAAGCCTATTGAATTTCAACATTGTCTCCTTACACTTTCCCCTAAATTCAGAGAAGAAACGGGACTTATTGTAGTGGGTGGCAGGCTCAGACGAGTAGAGGACATGGAACCTGAAATGGAGTCAAGGATGACTGGATGAACCAAGCATCCATTATCTAGTTTAATCATCAAGGACTGTGACAAGAAACTTTTCCATGCTGGTCCAGCGAGAGTTTTCTTAGAACTTTGCCATAATTATTGGATCATTAGAGGGAGAAACATCAGTTGTCTTATTTGGAATGTAGGAAGTGGAAAGCTAAATCATCTATCCCTCAAATGTCAGATCTTCAACTCTCTAAGCTCCAGTTGTTCAAACCTCCCTTTTGGTCCACCAGGATTATTTTGGCCCTTTCCATGTCAAGATTGGTCGTAGAACAGAAAAGAGATGGGGCATTCTGTTTAAGTGCCAGACCACTCGATATCTGCATCTTGATTTGTTAACCAGTTTAGATGTGGACAGCTTCCTAATGGCCCTACGCCGTTTTATATCCAGGAGAGGTCAGCCGCATGAGATCCTTTGTGACCAAGGAAGTAATTTTCGTGGAGCTGCAAGAGAATTGAAGGAAGCTTTCCAGAACCTTACCACTGAGTTACAAGTTAAACTGGAAAATCAGCAGATCAAATTCAAATGTAATCCTCCCCAAGCTCCTCATTTTTGAGACTCATGGGAACGAGAGATTTGCTCTGTTAAAGCAGCTCTGCATGTGGTACTTGGCAGTCAAACAGTATCAGAAGAAGTTCTACAGACAGTTCTGACAGAAGTTGAAGGAGTGTTAAATTCTAAGCCACTTGGTTACGCCACTTCTAACATTGCAGACCTCAATCCTATCACCCCAAATCTCCTCCTCATGGGGCGGCGAGACTCTTCTCTACCCCAGGTTATTTATGTTAACACTTAGCTCTTTGGCCGTAGATCTTGGCGCCACAGTCAGGTCCTTGCTGACCAGTTTTGGACAGCCTTTATTCAACATTATTTACCAGGTCAGCAGCTCCGTCAAAAATGGAATAGAGAAAATCCTAATCTAAATGACTCTGCTGTTGTGTTAGTTATTGATTCTCAACTTCCAAGAGCATCATGGCCCATTGGTAGGGAAGTACGTCTTTTACCTTGTCAGGATGGATGTGTGAGAGTAGCTGAGATTGCTATTAATGGAAAAACTTACGTACGCCCAGTTGCTAAGTTGATTCCATTATCCCAAATTGATGAATAATAGCAAATACATGTCTGTATTTGGGGGCGGCTGTTGTGAATTTGACTTATTTGTTTTTTCTTTTTTTTTTTTCCTTTGTACTACATCTCCCACAATTCCTAGTAAACTACATTTCCATATATGCTGCACTACATTACCCATATTCCCCATGTTTAAGGTCTATAAATATACCTTACTTCCTTCCTTTGTCCCTTTTGCATTGGTGAGGTGTGGGTGTTTGAATGGACACCCAACCATGTCCTTTGAGTCCTTCCCTTAGGATGCGTTAATGACTTAAAAACATCCTGTTTGTCCTGTGCATCCTGTTCATCATGTCCATCCTAATAGTCCTGCTCCATGTGAATTTGTGAACTTCATGTCATGTGAATTGTTAAAGATTTATGCTTCTTCAATCCAATGGAATAAAAAAGACCAAAGGACTGGTGTTTTTTCCAGTGTTTTAATCAGACACGCCATCAAGTTTCAAAAATTTTATAGAAATTTTATATTATAAAATATTTCTATATTTTCTTTGGATATTTCAACATCTCATATTCAAATGGCTGATTCATTTAGAGATTAAGTAAATATCTCTTTATGAATGGGCCATTAAACCATTGGTTCACCCGATTCATTCAAAGCATGCATTTTTCCCCCATTCACTTGACTTTTAAGGGCATATAACTGCATTCCGTAGGCTATAACACGCAGTGAGTTGTTGCCCTGCATCATGGGCTGCTTTCTAGTTTTTTTAATGCCCTTTCCTCGCTAACTTTCCTCCATCTCTTTAACTCGGATGTACATCACTGATTACATTGCACGAGTGCCCACTACTGGCAAAACCCTTGCAATGGGCTGAATTGGAACATCCTTTGCGGCGCAATATTTGACCGGAAGGGTAAAAATGACAGTTATTTTCGTCAGTTACGGTTTGTTAGCTCTAGCATTCTGCCCTTTTCAAATAGTACAGTAAGATCACATTTATTTGAATGAATTATAGCATTTATTTCAATTAATTATATATTAATTATAATTATATATTAGGGCTGGTAAGAAATTACATTTTTAAAATCTAATTAATTACATGATGTGGCGATTAATGAATCTAATTAATCGCACATCAAATTTGGCTGAAATTACTCCCAAAAGATCATTTAAAGTCATTGTTGTGTAATGCATCAAACAGACAAAAAGTAGCTTCAGCAAGAAATATTTTGTTTGATAAAATGTATTACATATACTCTTTTGGACCATGAGGGTGAGTAAATGATGACACAATTGTCATTTTTGGGTGAGTGAACCATACCTTTTATAATTTATATTATAAATTGTATTATTATTATGAATAATATTATTATTATTAATTATTTAATGAAATGATACTCTAAATGATAAACTAAAACTGCCAGTAGGTGGTGGTAAATGTCTTAATGATTAAGTCATCGAGTCATTTATTCATTCAATTCGTTCAAATGGCTGATTCATTCAGGAGTGAAGTAAATGGTTCTTTATGAATGGTCCATTGAATCATTAGGCTTGTTAGACTTGAAGTGGATCATCACCATCAGAACGATCGGTGTGTGACATCAAAGTACAGCAAGAGCTATAGAGAGCAGATGGCTCCATATGCTTTTGAATTGCTCTTGCGGTACTTTGATGTCATACACTGATCGGTCTGTGCAGCGCCACTTCAAATCCAAAGTGCCTATGGCCAATGGTTCAACATGCCAAATGGTTCACCCAATTCGTTCAAAACGTGCATTAAGAAATAAAATGATTTCTGAAGTAATAACCATAGCTAACTGCTGTTGTGTCAACAAGATACAAGATACTCCTCTCACACTCAGGGGTGTAAATTTCGTCTAACAGTTGGGGGGCGGGGGACAATAAACATAAAATTTCTCAAAAGCAATTTTTGAAGGGGACACAAATAATACAGCTAAAATTGTACTTGTAAGGATATGTATACACAGAGGAAAGCCTTACTACTATTAGTGTAGCAGGAAGACCATGCCAAATTAGACAACTTCAAGCTGTTGTGGTCGCACCTGAACAGCAGTCGTGTCCATTGTAGACATTACTATCCGTCAAGCAGGTAACGTTATTATTGCTAACATAGCGGACTCATCAAAAAATACATTGGTATTAAACATCTGTATTAAAGAGAAAATAATCACTTCATCCAATGTTTAAGTGAATAAAATACCCTCGACAGCCTTACTTACTGGAGTTCCACAACTATTGAATTTGTTCTCTCTCATCAGACTTGTGTGTGAGTGTGAGTGTGTGTGTGTGTGTGTGTGTAGGTGATGTAAAAGTGGAAAGCAGGCATTTGGACCAAAGCACTGTGAGGCAAGGGAGGGGGGGAGTGTAGTTTTTAATCATATTTTTAGGGGGACAACCCTCAGATGGGGGAGTCCTGTCCCCCCAACCCCCCCAGTATTTCCACCTATGCTCAAACTTCAAAACTCTGCATCCTTGAACATTGCACTTTCCGCTATTTAATGAGGTAAACTTTTACTTCTTGGTTAAAGAAAAACAAAACAATTGTTTTTTCCCCCTAGGAGAACAGGATTTTACAGGACATTTTAAATTTTCTATTATTTTTACATGGATTATTCAGTTTTTCCACACATATAAAAACAACAACAACAATGATAATGTAATGTCAAACATCCTGTAGTGCTTCTGGGTTGTGCTAAACTTACGTGGGTTTCTCATTGGTGATGAGCACTTTGACCTTATTGAGGGCCTTTTTGGCACCGGTAGGTTGAGCCGCAGCAGGTTTGCTATGGGCAGGGCTGGAATGAGGACTGGCGATATAAACCTTCTTACCTCCACTTCCCGGCGGTTTAGAGTGTGAGAAATCGGTGATGAACACTATACCCTCGCTGGTTAGCACTATGATATAGAAAAGAACAAATAGCAAAAATTTGAGAAACAGTTTAGTAAATTGGTATTTACTTAAACTACATTACACCATATATTATGCACCATACTAATAACTTTTATTAGTGATGCACAATACCATTTTGTACTGTACAGCAATGTTCAGTACAATACAGTTAGACTAAGTGGAACATCACAATGTTTAACATAATAATTTTTGTTAGATTTATTGATTTAAGCAAAGTGTCCCAGCTGTGTGAATCACTTTAAACAAATCAAAGAAAAAGACCAAATTCAAAAGATTTGTTCGCAATTTAAATATCACTTCCAGCAACCGTATCTGTGCATCCCTAAGTACTATTATGAATACAATATGATAGAATACCTACATGCCAGATTGGAGGGCTCAAAGAGGTCAAAGGAGAAAGACAGGATGTTCTCAGCATAGCTCTTCTTCCACAGCTTGGTGCCAGTGTCTCCATTCCACAGAACAATATAGTTGGGAGGGTGAACAGCCAGAAGAAGATCAAGAGAAGCATCCTGAGTCCACAGCCAGTCCATATCTGATGCAAGGTATCAACATACACAAGTATCAATATCAAGTTAAAAAATTCATCAATATCAATGAAAAATACACACACACACACACACACACACACACACACACACACACACACACACACAGTATATTTGGACACATATTATTTTTTTTATTATTTTAGCTGTTGACCAAAATATATTTAAGTTACAATTATATAATGAATATGAGCTTGAAGTGCACACTCTCAGCTTTAATTATCATCACAATTTGAGGAAAGGTTAAGGAATTACAGCTCTTTAATATGTACCTCCCCCCTTTTTTAAGGGACCATAAGTAATTGCACAGTTGACTAAAAAGCCATTTCATGGACAGATGTGGGCTACTCATTTGTTATATCTACATCAATTAAGCTGATAAAAGGTCTGGAGTTGATTCTAAGTGTGCCATTCGCATTTGGAAGCTGTTGCTGTGAACCCACATCATGCAGTCAAAGGATCTCTCCATGCAGGTGAAACAGAATTGTTAGGCTTCAAAAACAAAACAGATCCATTAGAGAGATAGCAGGAACATTAAGAGTGACCAAATCAACAGTTTGGTACATTCTGAGAAAAAAAGAACACACTGGTGAGCTCAGCAACATAAAAAGGCCTGGACGTCCATGGAGGACAACAGTGGTGGATGATCAGAGAATCCTCTCCATGGTAAAGAAGAACCCTTTCACAACAAACCCCGCCAAGAGAAGAACACTCTCCAGGAGGTAGGCGTGTCACTGTAAAAATTTACAATCAAGAGAAGACTTCACGAGAGCAAATACAGAGGGTTCACCACAAGATGCAAACAAGGCCAGATTAGACTTTGGCAAAAAAAAAAATAATCTAAAAAAAGCCAGAGCATTTCTGGAAAAGCATTCTTTGGATGGCTGGAATTAAGATCAACCTGCACCAGAATGACAGGAAGAAAAAAGTATGGAGAAGGCTTGGAACAGCTCATGATCCAAAGCATACAACATCATCTGTGAAACATGGTGGAGGCAGTGTGATGGCATGAGCATGTATGGCTTCCAGTGGAACTGGGTTACTGGTGTTTTTTGATGATGTGACAGAGAACAGAATTAGCCGCATGAATTCTGAAGTGTATAGGAATGTACTGCTTGCCCAGATTCAGCCAAATGCAGCAAAGTTGATTGGACGGTGCTTCATAGTACAAATGGACGATGACCCAAAACATACAGCAAAAGCAACCCAGGAGTTTTTGAAGGTAAAAAAGTGGATTATTCTGCAATGTCCAAGTCAATCTCCTGATCTCAACCTGATTGAGCATGCATTTCACATGCTGAAGACAAAACTAAAGGCAGAAAGACCCACAAACAACAACTAAAGTCAGCTGCAGTAAAGGCCTGGCAAAGCATCACAAAGGAGGAAACCCAGTCTTTAGTGATGTCCATGAGTTCCAGACTTAAGACAGTCATTGCCTACAAAGGATTCTCAACAAAACATTAAAAATTTTATTTATGATTATAATTATTTGTCCAATTACATTTGAGCCCCTGAAACTGGGGGGACTGTGTATACAAATGGTTGTAATTCCTAAGCTTTTTAAGTTATATTTTTGTTCAGTCCCTTGAATTAAAGCTTAAAGTCTGCACTTCAATTTCATCTTGATTGTTTCATTTTAATTCTATTCTGGTGGCATACAGAGCAAAAATTATGAAAATTGTGTCAGTGTCCAAATATATATGGACCTAACTGTAGCTGCTAGCAGCAATACGGGGCTAAGCCATGAAGGTATAGCATTTTGAAGGAGGAGTAGTGAAAAAACGGAATACTGTACTTTTAAAAATGGCTGCTACTGTAATGGGCAGAGTTTTAATGTAAGCTATAGAATGGAATCAGCATGGAGAAGAATCAGGTGTACTAAGTTACATTTGTCTAGAGTAAGGGGTTAAAGAGTTATTACTAGGGATGCACCGATACCACTTTTTCCAGTACTCGCCTGATACCGATACTTTTATTTTTGGTACTTGCCGATACCAATATTTTCATTGCATTTGTACATTTTTTAAAATATTGGGTACAGAAACCAAATGAGTGTGTTTAATGTTAGTTGGTTAACTTAATTTATCAAACAGATACAGTCAAACCAAAATTTATTCAGTCACCTTCAACATTTCTCACATTATCACAGTTTTATTCGCTATAGTTTAGAAAATGGTAATAAAATATGACAAGAACTCAGAGTTAAACTGTGTCAGAACAAATTCAGCTTGATAATGTTATATAACTTTGATAGAAAGGTATGTAATGGATTACAATAAACCAAAAATTATTCATACAGCTGTCAATATTTACACAACTATCAATACTTTGTCGGGTGACCCTTAGCCTTAATGACAGTATATAGTCTCCTGGGCATGCTGTCAACCAGGTTCATGCAAACCTGAACTTAAATTTTTTTCCCAGACTCGGTCTGAATAATTTTTGGTCCCAAATTTGAATCAATTTTACTGGTAGTCCACTGTATGAAGAATTTTTGGGTATAATATATCACAGTTTAGTTTATTTTGCTATCCTCACTTTACATAAATGAACTATAGTGTCCTACACCCACTAGTAAAAAAAATATCAAAAATGATATCTGGTCTCTGAATAATTTTTGGTTTGACTGTATATCCTTCTGTTATTTTCACACTTAATTATGCCCATTAAAATGTATTTTACAAGTTTTTGTTACATCATCTTAAATTTAATAGCATTAGAGCTGCTCCATTGCAGTGGCTTAGTACTGTAATCACGTGATTTGCTGTAAAAATGCAGGGAACCACTCGCTATAAATCTCCTAACTGTGATATTTTCATAAATAGAAGTCGTGTTTTTTTCATCTGAAACGTGCAGCGATTTATTTTCCAAAGCCACTCCTTTACTGCAGAAACACTCATGAAGCAAGCAAAACACGCGCAACGTGGACACGTATTTGTACTGGTGCAGAATGAGAGGGACAAGTACAGTACAGCCTAGCTTCACACAGGCTGTTAGTGTCACTTTCGCCAGAATGTAGTGTACGCTTAAGGGTAAAAATAAAATGACATTTATAGTGAATGCCCCTATAAATTGTCTTATATTTACGATTTAGTTTTAATCCAAATGACGCATGCTAAGTGAGCGAACATCAATAAAGATCACACAACAGAAGTGCGCGTTCTCTCCCTCCCTCCCTACCATTAAGTAACTGCATCGTTTTACTTACTTCTTTTTGACATATCCGACCGAACTACAAACTTTCCAGTGATGTCTGTGAGAAAGGGATATTCACTCGACAAGCTTGCGCGTCTGCGCCACCGCACGCTCAATCCACTCAGCGTGATTTGCTTGCCAGCTGGCGCAAATCATCTATACAGGCATTAATACAGAATGTTTTATATTCATTGCATACATATACTTCGTAGGCATCTTTAATCTCTAATAACTCCATTCTGCTGTCTGTTGCCGGTGTTTCTTTGTCTGAATATGGCACTTATCACATGCTGTGTGGTATAGGCGTTTGGTATCGGGCCATTTTTACGAGTACGAGTACAGGAGCTTGGTATTGGTGCATCCCTAGTTATTACTATTTCAAAGTTGAATTTTTGAACTGGTGATGGCACTTTAGAGTTGGTCCTAGAGACCCCAAAGTTGGTCAGATCACCATTTACGACCATCACTACAAGTGTGCCAAATTTAATCATTTTCCTGTTCCCGTCATAGGGCTGCCACTGACTCCAATTTGGAAATAATAATAATAAAGTAAACTAAAGGCTTGGCCCCATATGTTACTAAGGTAGTTTATACTGCAATGCCTTTAACAAATTACAAATTTATATTAAAATATATTTATAATTGCCTTACAGTATTTTTTGATGTAATGCAAGTAAATAATTACTGTATTACAGTAATGATTATTTAATGAAAATCACCACGAAAATGGAAATCATGGCTATTAAAAAAAAAGGTTTTATGGTAATGGGAATTTGGGCTGAACGTGCTTAATTCGTAATTAAAACAAGGTCACAATGCAAAACATCTAAACGGATGGTAATGAGAATTTCAGTTGAAGATGTGCTTGATTAACAGTTAATTAATCAAAATAACATCACAATGCAAAATATCTAAATGGTCCTATAGCAAGCTTCATTTTCATTATGCAAAAGACCATAATATATAAGCTCTGCAATATCAGCAATATGAAATGAGCAAGAGTGTGATATGCCTTTATTTTGGCCATAGCCAAGAGGACACAGGCCAAGTGCCGCAGGTAGTGCGCTGGTCCTACTAATACTGTATTGCACAACTGAGAGAGCAATATATTAACTGAACAAATATTAAAAAAAAAAAAAAAAAAAAAAAATTGCTCTTTGGGTTGGAGCTACT